CATCTGTAGCTTGATCTCGTCCAAGGTGAGACGACCTACCAGATCGTTGACTCTGTCCTCCCAAGGCAGAGAGATATTTCTAAAGGGGTAGTCTCCCACCACGATGGGGACGAGGACGAGAAGAAAGAGAAGCATTGTATGTGGACGACGATGAGAGAAGGACTGCCTGGAGACTAAGTAGGGATTTGTTACAGGGACAACGTGACTCATTTTATCTGTGGTTGTATACTTGCCATACCAAGACATGATGACTATGAAGATTCCTAGATAAGACAGGAAGGCCGACCGATCTTTGATCTTGGATCTTAGCTGGCTTCTATATCTATCACCAGTGAGTTATTTTCGCTCCATTTGCGCATTACCAAAAAGTGTTCAGAATCTAACAGGACTAATTTATGCCTGGTTTCTTGTCCATTACTATTACCAGTCAACGTGAACTGATTACTGTCTTCCCGTGACCACTGTTCGCCTTTCTATGTCATCACTTTTGTAATCTCACTTGTATATTATAGGGACAGGGACAGTGTGCCTCATTTCATATTTGGTTGCATACTATACTAAACTATACTATACTATGCCATACCATACCATACCATACCATACCATACCATACCATACCATACCATACCATACCATACCATACCATACCATACCATACCATACCATACCATACCATACCATACCATACTATGATGACTATGAAGATTATTAGATAAGACCAAAGGGTTGACCATTCTCATTTTCTGAGTTGTTACCAAGGTTTGTTTCTGACCAAATAATCAAGATCTCTGATCTTAGCTAGCTTCTATATCTATCACCAGTGAGTTCTTTCGGCCCCATGTTCTCCTTTTGCCCATTACCAAAATAATATACTAATGTATATGTCTATATTATCACTTTATCATTCTCACTTATACATTATAGAAAGAGGCGAGGTTTAGCAATGTACAGTAGTTCAGGTATAAGGAAATGCCCCAAATAATGTCACAACACGAAATTCCCTCATTTTGCATCTCAATCTGGAGCGATTAATTACAATAACAGATAATATTCCCTTTCCAAGTAACGTATGAACTTTGCTTTGTGACATTTTGGGTTTCCAAATTCCTTTGCAATGTCATTTTATAACAGTCTGAATAAAGGCCCATATTGTTCCCATACTGCATACAGCTGGTAGCCATGCTGCATGTTCACAGAGTAAAAAGGTCGTAATACGATTTGTAATCATGGGACAATGCCTTGATATTTGTGAACTGTGACTACCAACTGGTTTTCAAACGGTCATAATAATAGTGTATGTTATAGATTTAACACATTGTTAACACAGTGGTAGAAATAAACTGAACTTCATATTCAAGATAGAGATTTAAAGGACGCTGCAATTTCGCTTCCAGTCGCTTACAGTCACCATTCCATCTCACGACAATAAAGGAATAGACTGGTAAAGTAGGAAACTTGAAATGATGCGATTGTTCTTCTTGGATACATTTGCCTATGAAGACAATTATGTTTACACTGATCAAAATAGGAGAGGCGGGGGACGGGGCGACGACAAAGCTATCCCACATCAATATACAAAAGCTGGGAACTACTTTCCTTTACCCCTATTCGTGGCGCATTCACCATCACATACAAGGACACAGGATCATGTCGATCGCTAGTCCTCTTGCTTGTTCTAGACTTAGGTGAACCTCGTGTGACTTTTGTCACACACACACACGCACGCACGCACGCACGCACGCACGCACACACACACGAACTGAACAAACTGTACAGGTTCGACACTATGCCGTACGGATTCTGTGAAATTCTCCTCCATTCTCAATGCAATGCGTGGACCAGTACTCCAAGTGTCTCTGGTACATGTTGACGTTGAGTTCATCCCACAGTTCTATCGGGTTCACATCCAAAGATGTGGAAGGCCGTGGCAAGACACTGACTTGTGAAATCATCTGCACAGATATCATCTGCGTGCACGACGTTCATGTGTCATCCCACAACTTACTGCACGTAACGTGAATCAGGGAACATCAGCAAATGGATACGCGACGTTGGTCTAAAGACAATTATGACATGTATGTATTTGATCATGAGCATTAATAATCATAAGATCATATTATAGTTGTCACTAATGCATGTATATATAGTTTGACCAGAAATTATTGAGAATTTTAGGAATATGTTTAATTGGATTTCTAGTATAAACAACCTTGACCAGCTATCAAGTGTTTGGTTTCATTCAAGAGAGACAACTCCGTTAATCTTTTTTCATTACTTTGTGAAGAGTTATCCCCCTTTGTTTACTTGCTAGCAGACGACATTTTCAGTGATCTTCAGTATGGATGATTTAGAGAGGAGGAAGTTGATTTTAGAGTATTATAACAAGGACATCAGATCAGCTAAAGTGATTTCAAGTAGAACAGGCATCCCTTTGTCCACTGTTTATCGTGTTTTGAAAAATATTGCAAATGGATATGGCATTGAGCACCAGGGAGGCGCAGGTAGGCCCAGAAAATTGACTGTCGGTGACAGGAGGCGGACTGGTATTCTTGTTTCTAAAAACAAACGAAGTTTAGAAAACTTAAGGCTGGATATGATTGATAGAGGAACTGTGGCTGTCTGTAAGGAGACAATTAGAACTGAGCTGCATGCAATTGGTTGGCAGAAAAGTCGAGGAAGTCCATCACCGATCATGAAACCTGAACAAAAGGAGCGAAGGTTGAACTGGTGCTTACAGCATAGAAAATGTAACTGGGACAATGTGATTTTTTCGGTGTGGCTGTTTCCTAATACACTGAAATTCTGGACCAAACAAACTGAAAAACCTTTGTATCAGCGCCAAAAGTACAGTGTGGGGTGGCATATATGTGTTAGGGGCAACGCCCCTCTGTTTATTTGAAGGGAATATGAACAGTGAGCGGTACACAGATATTCTCGAGGGACATTTACTTCCATCTGCTCACGTGTTCAATGGAAATGTTTGCATTTTCCAGCAGGACAACGACCCAAAACATCGTTCAAAGCATTCACAGGTATGGTTTCGGACCCAGAATATGACATTATTAGATTGGCAAAGCTATAGCCCTGACCTAAGTCCAATAGAAAATGTTTGGGGACTTATGAAGGAAAGTGTCAATAAGAAAAATCTGACAAATATTGCTGAAATGAATGAATGAATGAGTTTGGTTTTACGCCGCTTTTAGAAGACGGCGGGGGTGGTCACATTGTGATATTTGGGACAGGCTACCCCTCCGCCCCTGCTGAAATGGACCACGATATTTCCACGACTTTTTTCTTTGATCAGTAGTATGCCCCGCCGCATTGAAGCCTGCATTGCTGCCCATGGTGACTTGACAAAATACTAACTGTTTAGCTGTCTTAGAATGTGGAGTAATGTTCTGCTAATATTCACATTTAATACGTGAGTAATGAGTGAATAAAATAAAACAATTACAATCTTTAAATTCTCAATAATTTCTGGTTGTACTGTACGTAGCCTGACTGCAGATGCCTTATTGTGTTGAAATTTAACCTGATGTTAGTCAAGGAACCTAGAGGCGATGGTATCATAAAACAATTGATATTATTAAAATGGTCAAGTGCAAGTAACGGGCTCTCACATCATGGACTGACAAAGCGGACTACCATAACTTCACAACGGCACCGTCCTTGTTCAACTTGGCCTTCACCATTGTCAACTACATGGAATATCAACTGAGTGGAATGACTGCTACTAAGCTATAGGAACGTAAAGTATAAACTTAGAATGCTTAGAATTTCTAGTATCCACTGTGATTACTGAGACTAGAATATACGTTCACATACATGACTAATTCAAGTGGGAACATTGAAAAGAGTTTTCGTGCAATGTTAATTGAACTTTTATGGTGTAGACAGGCATAAAACTTCAAATCCCATCACCTCGAGATAGAGATTCACATGTGAATATAGTAAATGCCTTTCTTCAAAAAGACGTCCGTATTTAAGGTAAGGATAATGATTATATATGTTTAAATAATGTACTGCTCGATAACAATCGAAAGCAGCCTCATCAAACAGTCAATAGATTGTATGCATGTAGATTTTGTACGTTTCGTGTGTGACGATAGCTTGTTAACCCTTTTAGTATTAGGCTCCGTCCGTCCATCCGTATGTACGAACTGGAATATCTTGAATATGACTAGATTCTTTTCATACGTGGTACCTAGGTACATCACAGTATGCGAAAGGTCCCAGTCAGGTTTCGTGACCTTGACCTTCATTTCAAGGTCACAAGGGGATTTTAACGTTTAACCCTTGTCAGAGATATATCTTTGACCTTCACGTAACTGTCAAGGTCACATCGACACTTTGAAGATTTCAGCATGTTAACCTGCATGTTAAGCTTGTCAGCGAGATACCTCAAGAACCATTCACTGGATTTTCTAGGGAAGGCGCCGGGTCCAGTCGATGACCTTCACGTTAATTTTCAAGGTCACGGCGATACTTTGAAGATTTCAGCTTGTTACGATTGAAAGCAAGATATCTCAAGAACCGTTCACTGGATTTCTTCATGACTTTCAAGACTTCGCTTGAATGTTGTTGTTTTTTATATGAAATGTTTTTATTACTATGTTTTTGCATATTTCATACACCATGACAATCTTGTCAGGGTCAAAGTGAGTCTTGAAAATATTTGTGTGTTTGAACAGCTTCAGAGCAAGATATCAAGAGAGGTTGACTGGTCATGTTTTTGTTGACATTTAACTTCATCCTAAACTACGACCTTCACTTTCATTACTTTTAAAGTTTGATTTGATAATTTGCGGCGGCGGATTATGTCACCTTAGTGACAACTGCTTGTTGTCAAGTATGTCGTATATTTTACGTAGTCGAAGGAACAGCTACACGCTGTAGACTCTGTTATCGTGAATTAAAATCCCTGAATCGCCTTGTTATAATGCTTTGGTGGGCACCATTCTGATGCTCTCAGATCGTTAAGCACATACTTAACTCATTTGTTGAAGGTGGTGCCTACCCAGTACCGTTTATTATCAATTGCTACATCAGATATGTATAATTAAATAAACACAATAAATTATAATTAATATCGACCAAGTACTTTTTGTCCTATGACCGTAAACTGGCCGGGAATGACATTGGAGTCGATGGCTGGTTGGGCGTTTGGCTGCTGACCCCCTACCCAAAATGAAATGACACCTGAAAAGACAAAGTATATGAATACATTTGTTGTTACATGTCTAATTGTTGAGAAAATACCATGCCCTCTATCATAACACACCGGATAATTACGAAATGATATCAGAAGTAAACTAATATTTAATATAAATAGAATCTATGTCTACAGTTACGGGTGCTTTTGTGAGTGAATGGGTGAGTTCAGTTTGGTTTCAGATAGTGTGTATTTGTTATCATGGAAACAGCCAGTGTGTGCCTCACTCTGAGAGTGTGGGTTCGAATCCCGAATGGAACTCAGTCCTCAAAGTGCTGGAATCTGCACTTTACGTGAAAGTAATACCAATATGTGTTACATCAGTATGGTATGGTCCATCTTGGACGATCCGTGTGTTTTGTTCATGTGGTAAAAGTAGTTTGTCACCATCAAGAGATGGCTTACCTGGCTCAACGACCCATCCCTTCTCGTCAGTCCACACTGCCATAGATTCAGCCGAGATGGTGAAGTTCCACTGATTCTGAACACCCCGTGGTGCAAACACTCTGTTGAAGTCCACCAGCTGAAGATGTGGAACTGTCACAGTGGCGTTAGACCAGGATATATACACCTGGACGACCTGAAATCAAGCCAAGCCTCCAGCTAGTCAATGTCAGAGGTCCGAATATTCATTGGTCATATGCGTATGAACAGGGGTAGGCGTCAAAGGCATGATTAGCGGCTGTAAGCATCAAATGTATTATCTCATTTTAGATAACCTGACCCATGTCATTTATTCTAAGCTGACGAATGTGATGAGCTAAATGAGGTCGGCAGGGAGGAATAAAATCATGAAAAAATCATGTTTGTGACACTGCTGCTGTATCATGAAGCTGATGTTTTCTTCTAGAACTCCATACCTCATCGGCATCAAAGGATCCTTGATTGAGAAAGAAGACAGCACCAGTCAAGTCGGCCCCGGCTATCACCTCACTGGTGTACTCCAGCATGTCGTAGAAGAAGCTGGTGTAGGACAGACCATAGCCGAAGGGGAAGAGAACTGGATATGTGGCGTACCGGTATGTGCGTTCAACCATTGAGTAGTTTGTCATGTCTGGCACCTTTGAAAGACAACATAGGCTGGTACACAGGCCGCTGCTCTAAACTACCTATTTTGTGTTTGCGATTGGAACGATGGTAAGTGACATTTGACCTAATTTCCAACATTAACATGGTCAGCTTTTGTAAGCAAATATTTGCTTGTCACTGAACAGTTGCTGTTGTTGTTGATTGGTGAATGTGTTACCAATATATTGCATCTCAATCTAAGGACCTATCGATAACCAACAGCTACTTCAGTAGATGCCAAATTGTTATGAAATGTAACGCACTTTCCAGTGAATAATGTTCTGAATTCGGAATACAAAAGAAGGAATACTGACTTAACTGCTCAAGAATAGATCCAATGTTCAGAAGCGAAACCAAGCGGAGAACCTACCGTGTTCATATACCTTGGCCAAGAGATCGGAAGTCTTCCGGCAGGAACTGAGTTTGGTCCCTCCGCCAGAAGTACTCGCCGCAGTCCCTCGCCTGTTGACTGGGCTGGGAAAAACAGTTCCATGATAACCTGTACATTGGGACTCTCGACAGCCCATGTAATGTTGAGGGGCCCAGCATTGAAAAGAAGGAGGATGACTTTGGCACCAGACGCTGGAAGTAGAACAATTAGATCTTGAGATAGATAGTGAGACTTGATTAGTGAAAACTTGAAATCATCAGGGGTTGAACAAACTGAACATGAATCTTAACAACTGTCTTATCCTTCTCCCACCTACCCTGGCCGGCGTTGACAGCATCCTGCAGCAACTGCAGCTGTTGTCCAGGGAGGTCGAGGTTGGCCTTGTCGTTGGCTTCAGATTCTAGTTCCTGGCCTAAATGGAAACATCCTCATAGAAACTTCACCTAGTAGATAAGTCTTGTATTAATCTTGTCAAAATGGATCACAAAAACATTTGAACCAAGTCTCTTCATAGGCTTTGGGTCATGTTCAAAGCATTTAAGATTGTTATATTTCGTCGTTGAGAATGAAAACAAATGCAAATGAGCTTCATTTTGACTGAAAATGTAGCCTTGCAGGTAACAGAAAATGAAATATTTTTGAGCGAGTTATTTCAAGACGCAAGTTTGGAAAGCCAAATTTGTACCAGTTTAGTGAAACTCAGTTATATGAATTATTACAGTAACAGTTAATTCTTCAACGTTCAACAACTTTGACCTCATAGACAATAGTGTGAAGGGTTGCCTTACATTGGATGTACATTATTTCAGAGCATAAAACACATTAACTCACCTGTTCCAAGACATACAAATATGAGATCGGAGCCTGTTGCTGCTGTCTGGACTTCCTGGGAGTTATACTGAGTGCATTTGTTGTCGGTACATCCGGCTCCATACCTCACTGTGGACCAGATAGACTGGATGCCTTGTAATGGGTTGGTTGTGAATGTGGGGTTTATTGTTGGAGTATAGTCTCCAAACATTTCATATGTATTATTGGCCATTGGTCCGACAACCTGTTGGACAAGGATTTATCTTCACTATGTAAACGATTGGGAATGGTAAGAAAATAGGAAGTATACATCTTCAATTTCAGCGTTTACTGTGTAAATAACATTCTTGAAAATGCGAAAACAAATTATTATTTTCAATCTCATATACCTACCGCCACAGTTTTGTAGCTAGATGGTTTTAAGGGAAGGGTTTTTTCGTTTTTCAGCAGCACAAATGTTTTTAATGCTGCCTCAACAGAGAGATTCCTATGAGCCTCGCCCTGAACTATTGACATGTTCAGCTTTGTGTATTGATTCATTTCCGGTGGGTCAAACTCTCCCAGCCTCATTCTGACGTTGAACAACGCTTTCACACTGGTCCTGACCTCGTCTTCAGTCAGTTTGCCTTGTTTCACAGCATCAACTGTAAGAAAAACAACAGCAACGATAGCGTATCATGTTCATTTCAGGAACTTTCACCCACGTAGACAGTTTACATAGTGTGAAAATATGAAAGTCTAAATATATGGTACAAAGATGCAGTAAGAAGAAAATCAGTGCTACACTTCAAATTCATAGCATGCTCGTACCCACTGAAAAGAACACCGGTTCATCTTTGTTATAGGACAATTCGAGGTTAGCGCCTGCTTTCACACATGCTGCGACAGTATCTACGCTGTTGTTGAGGTAGTGGTGTTCAGTGATGATGTTCTCAATGGCAGCTTCATCACTGACAACATAACCCTTGAAACCCCATTCGGTCCTGAGAATATCCGTCAAAAGCTTCTTGTTGGCACACGCTGGAACGCCGTTGATGCTTTAAAACAAAGAATTCACTTGATAAATTGAATACGTAATATGTCACGGAATATCACACACACACACACACACACACACGCACGCACACGCACACACACACACACACACATATACATACATACATATTGAATTGTCACGTTACACTCCATACGTTTTTAAGTAACTAGTAATGAGTTGTCACTATATTAGACTTTGTATCAGTTGATTTGTAGCCACCTATTATAGCTGCACATGAGGCTGTAGGTCCCGGCCTTGACACAGGAGCGGAAGGCTGGCAGAAATGTAGTCCGCCAGTCTCGTTCAGACACCTGAAACGAACAATTCAATATTCCAAAAGCATTAAATAACACAATTTCTTTCATTCCTTAATATCACTTAGCAGTGTGTATAAATGTTTCGTCTTTATCGAGAAATAAAGTCATATTTTACATTCATTCTGATTGTAGGATATATCTAGATAACAACCAACCTTCATACCAAAACGTTAATGCCAGTATATAGACAAGAAAAACATATATGCAAACTCACAAGTTTTGAATTCGAGTAAGCGAATTAAGTCTTTCATAGGCTGGAAGAACGTGAAGAACGTGAAGACATACAACGTCATCGGATAACAACTTATTCAATATTTGAAACAACGTTTCGTTTGGGACGGTGGAGTGGCATAGTTGTTAAAGCGATCGCTCGTCACTAGGAAGATCGGGGTTTCATTGCTGGAATCCGAAAGCGGCGTAAAACTAAACTCACTCACTGTAACCACGTATCAGGGATATATACGTTATCTAAAGGATACCTAGGGCTAAGACTCCAATAGAGCAAATTGTCATTAAAAGTTGTTTTAAAAGTTAAAACGTCACGTTACCTTTGCATCAAACGATGCGCGTGAGACAGGTATATTTTCGGGACCGCCGTGGACATTGAAGTGTTTGCATCCAGCGTTGGCTCTGACGTAGCGGGGATCGTTTCCCTGAAGTCCATTCACGAAACTGGCAGCAAAGACTCCTGACAAGAATGGATCCTCTCCATATGTTTCCTATAGGAAAATAACATGCGTGCCTATGAAAAAGAGCACAAATCTGTGTAAGCGACCATTCCGATCATCTGACACACAGACAGCATGATCTGATGATGAGTGTGGTGGTTGGCGAAATCTGAACACGCCTCAGTTAGCCACGGATCCAGGCAGACCTAAAAATACTTGTTCTGTCTGTAATATATTGATGACTTTTGTTATTTCGTTTCGGTATTAGTCGTAAATTTGAAATGTAAATTGTGAGAATGGCCGTCTCGGTTTTGTATGTATCGGTATGCAACCACATAGAGCGCTGCAGAAACAGAAAAAAATATACCGAAGTGCATCCCAGGGTTATCACTGAAATTCAACAACATCGAGACAACACAGAAGCGGGCGCACGAATCCACTAACACATTGGCAGGTCGTATTGATAGCGCCGATGACCTTTGAAGCTCCAAACTTGGTCGAACGTTGGAAGCGGTGGAAACAGACGATCGAACTTCTGTTTGCGGGCGAAGAGAAGGAGCAGTGTATTTACTTTCTGCTGTATATAGGGCAGGATGGTAGAGATATTTACAACATTTGGACGTTAACAGAAGATGAAGTTGACAAAATAGTGCCTCTCTACGAAACATTTGAAAACTACTGAAAACCAACGTTTAACATGACAATCACGAGGTACCGTTTTAACAGTTGCAAACAAATACAGGTGAGACAGTCAATAAGTCTAAAAGAGAACTAAAGACGTGTACATGTACGGCATTATTTTATTACAGTAACAGATTGGTACGTTAATACGCATTTCAAAATGCAGCTCATAATGCACAAAACAAAACGAAACATTGACAAGTAGTAACACCAGGGCCGCGAACCACAAAGCGTTCGTAACGTTACGACCTGTCGTAACTCTATAGTTTATCATACACTTACGAATGCCGTAGCGCTACGAACGCTTTGTGGATCGGGACCCTGGTCATCTCTCGTGTCAAAACTCTCCACAATTTCCGTGTTAGATATACTATTAAAATAAAGAAACGCATAACTCAGAAATCTGTTGCGAAAATGTTGTATTTTCAAACATGTACAACTCGTCCACAAACAAGCTTTAGGAAATGATGAATTATTGTTTCAGTTTAGAAGAAGGAAATGTCTGTACACCCAAGTGGATAATTTTAGATAACGGAGACGTTGAGGGTCATGGTGACGACGTAGCACGGGCCCGACGTCGGATCTTCTGGCTCTCAGTCCAATCTCTCTCAACCTGTTCCACCCTTGAAGGTCCGGGTTAGAATATTGATCTTCAGTAACCCATGCTTGTCGTAAGAGGCGACTGACGGGATCGGGTGGTCAGGCTCGATGACTTGGTTTACACATGTCATCGGTTCCCAATTGCGCAGATCGATGCTCATGCTGTTGATCACTGGATTGTCTGGTCGTGACTCGATTATTTACAGACCGCCGCCTTATAGCTGGAATACTGCTGAGTATGGCGTAAAACGAAACTCACTCACTCAACCTGTTCCGTACAGTTTGACCGGATATCCTCCGAAGTCCAGGCACCCTGGATGCTGTGCTCTCACCCGTGACAGTACGATCACGCAAATGTAGTACCCGGATGTACCAATCTTGGGCTGCAGTGGTGACTCGAGATCTGCCTGTACGGGGAGGGTCATTTGTTATACCTGTTTGGTTGAAACGAGCTGTAAGCCGTGATATCGTGCTCAGACTAACATTCAGTCGCCTAGCAACAGAAGATTGGTAATCTCCAGCGTGCATTCTTTCAATGGCGATGTTCAGTGTCACAGCGTCAAGACGTGGCGTAGTGATTTGACCTTAAGTCCTTCAAAACGTATGCCAAATTCAGAAAGTAGCCAGACAGTGCATGCTCTTTGCTGCACAATTGCAACTGGAAGGTGATTTCTGTTGCGTTGTGGTGATGCCTGTTTAATGCTTGTAAGAAATCTCATCAAAATCAACATTTTCAGGTAAAGTTGATTTTTTACTTGTGCAATTGTGTAAAATCATGTTACAACACTTCTGTTACATATTTTCACGATTGTCTGAACATAATAGGTAATTGATAGATTTTAAAAATACAAAACGCCTATGCGTTTATTTTTTTGGATAGTATATTTCACAGATTAATAACAATTCTCATATATCGTTTGATACATTGTGAGTCTTTTCAATGGTATTTTACTTTACAGTTGACGTCTAACAGTGGCAAAGACTAAGACAGCATTGTCGTTAATTTGTTTCATTCCAAGCATTCGCTGACGGTGTTTTTTTGGTGTTGGGGCAAGGGGCAAAGTTATTCTTCACGTAAATGACCTTGAGATCATACCGACCTGATTCCTTCCCCACCTGGGGTCTCTCGCGATATTGATAACCGGACTGAAACAGCTGATACCCTTGTGGTCGCCATATATGCCGTACCTTGTGTAGTTGTTGTATTTGGCCCTCACCTCCTCACCAGTGGCCTGGGACACCCGAAATATCAGATCAGGGCTACAGGTAGGACGAAAACAGTTTCACAAGTTGCAGACACTTCACCTGTACGTTTAACTACTACAAATTAGTATGTATCGTGACTCGCAGGAAATACACTATCAGGGGTATTTTGGAGCGTGTCCAGCTGTCTCATGTAATGGGTTCAACTTGCATTTACATATTCATGTACTAAATGTTTGAATTTGAAAGACAAGAACACCCACAGCAAAGTATTAATGTCTTACCTAAATGAGGCACCAAGTCCTATGGCCTGGGGGAAGGAGGTAGCATCCCCCGCCCCCACGTCCCCCCTGAGACACTCAGTGTCCCAGGAGTAGGGGTTGATACCCAGTCGGGGTATAGCAGGGGCGGGGCCGGCTTGAGAGCCCGCACCACCACGTGACATCTGTAGCTTGATCTCGTCCAGGGTGAGACGACCCACGAGATCGTTGACTCTGTCCTCCCAGGGTAGAGAGATATTTCTGAATGGGTAGTCCCCACCACGATGGGGACGAGAGCGAGTAGTAGGAGAAGCATTGTGTGAGGACGACACTGAGAGAATGACTTGTTACAGGGACAACGTGACTCATTTTATCTGTGGCTGCATACTTGCCATACCAAGACATGATGACCATGCAGATTATTAGATAAGACAGGAAGGCCGACCAATTCTTATTTTCCGAGTAGTTAGGTAAGGTTGTTTCTGACCAAAATGAAAATCGTTGATCTCAGATCGCTTCTATATCTATCACTGTGAGTTCTGTCCTCCCTCTACCCATTACCAATACGTGTTTATAATCTAACAGTACTAATTTATGCCTGGAGCTACTCCTGGCTTCCATTTGCCCATTACTATTACCGGTCATTGCCAATTGACTACTGGCTTCTCTTGGCAACTGCTATCACTTTTTTGTTTCACTTATACATTATAGAAAGAGGCGAAGTTCAGCAATGACCAGGACACAACACGAATTTCCCTCATTTTTTCAACTGTGTCCTCTGCAAATAATTACAATTACTGATTATATTGTGACGTAACGTCATAATGACGTCATCATGTAACATTCAAAATGAAGCGGCGTTGCCATTATGACACGGCTTAAAATTACAAATGTAGCAGTTGCAATGTTAAAAACAAAATTCAAATACATTTTTACCTTATCATTTAAACTCATAGCATTTGAATTTGGAACATTGTATCTAATGCTATGGAAACGTTCCGTACTCCTGGGTCTATATGTAGATACATAGGCTAGATCCATAGTGCTACGTGTTCGCTAATCGCGCATTTTCAACAGTGTCTTTTTGTATGTGTTTGTTGCATTCGTTATTCCCGATTCCACGAGTGGAATCTGGTATCCACGGGACTGTCGATTACATTTCAGTTCCACAAGTAGCGTGTACCTTATAGGTATATGTGACACGTATGAAACGAACATCATTAGGATTTCTGATTCCTAGCTTTCAAACACCTAAAGCAGGAGTATTCCGAATCATTGTGGTCTTCAAAATACAGAAGTCGACAGATTTTGCCCCTCGTACAATTTATGTAATTACAAAATAGTCGTTTTTTATCTGCACAAACACCATGAAAAATCAATAATTGCAAATAGTCTGTATTGGTAATGTTTGGTCATTATAGAAGATAGCTCGTGAAGACTATAAAACATGCAAAACACGTTAAATTTCTTTGCGTTTAAGGTGAGAGATTAACACTCAGTGTTCTAGAAAGCAACGTTTGTTATTTCCCTTTTAAAGTAACTTATGGTCTAAATAAACTTTCATTTCTGATATTTGGGTTTCCAAAATCGTGCGCAGTGTAATTTTAAAACAGTTTGAAGAAAGGCCCATATTGTTCTTATACAGCTGGTAACCATGCTCAGCTTTATAACAGACTACAAATGTTGAAATGTCTTGTTCATTTGCAATCCGATTCTTTAACAAACCATCGAGCAATGCCTTGGTATATGTTAATTGACACTACCAACTGGTTTTCAAACGGTAAGTAACGAGCGTATAATAAGTTATAAACTTATAAACACATTGTTAACACTGCGATGGATTCATAATGAACTTCAGTCAAGATATAAGTGAATGAAATGACGCTGCAAGGTCGCTTGTAGTCGTTTACAATTACCATTTCATCCTACGGCATTGAAGGAAGAGACTGGTAATGAAGGAAACTTTCGATGATGCGACTGTTCTCCTTGGATACTTTTGCCTACGAAGACACTTATTTCAACATAGTTCAAAATGGGGATTGGGAAGGAGGGGCGACTCCAAAGCCATCCCACATTCGCCATCCCACATTGGCACAGGATCATATCGATACCCAGGTCATGTTCCTTGTTCCAGGCTTGGGTGTGCCTCGGGTGTATGTGGTTTCCTTTGTTGTTGAATTTGTGACACAGAAACACGCACGCACGTACACGCACATCATACTTGCGTCAGGGAGGCAAGCCAGAATCCTTTGCAACATGCATGGTAAAGGCGACCGGTAGCAATGAAGCAGGATCGTCCCCCAACTCTATATTCTCTGAAGAACCCAAGAATGTGGAAAGTCTTACTCTTTTTTTGTTGTTGTAAGTTTATTGCTTCCAGTCTCTATTCATGATTGTTAAGAAAGACATCTTACTCTAGACTGTGCAAATAGCTTTATTGTTACACGAATGTGCAAAGATGGGAAGATTTCAACACGTTACTAAGATAAACGAGCTTCAAACACCCGCTGTAACGAAAACAAACTGCAAAACATTCAGTGGAAGATGCTGCTGTTGTTGTTTTGCCCAGACAACATCCAGCCCTGATGTAAACCATCATGCCGAACATATCCAAGCTTAAAACGACCTTACGCAGCCATATTTACCAAAATACGATTCTACAAACCTTTACCATCTGAGACACATGCACCATGTCCGCTGGTACAGGAAAACAAACTGCAAATCATTGAAAGGAAGATGTTGCCCAGACAACATGCACCCCCGATGTAACCCAAAACATGTCCAACTTTATACTTTGCAATACCGAATACCAGTTCAACAGAATGTACCAAAAGGTCGCTACACTGCTGACTATCATAGCTATAGATAGCTCACAGGCCAAGACTGATGTTAGTGGTCACCCGGGCTGCTTGGAATGCATCATATATAGCCAATATATAGAGTGTATTTGAGGTAAATGAATACATTTAGTATGACCTTGACCACCAAGAACCTTTTATCCTTTGAACTGGCCAGAAAGGACATTAGACTCCATAGCGTGACTGCAGATTCACACGTTGTTGGTATCGCCCTAGTATACTTGACGCTCCTATTACAAGAGATGAGATCTGTGCAGCGATTACAGAACTAAAATCATCCAAGAGTGCTGGGCCTGATCATATCATAGCAGAATTTTTTAAGTCCTCACAGGATATTTTAGTTCCCTATATTCAGTTGCTATTCAATGTTCTGTTTGATCGAGCGTATTTTCCAGAATCGTGGTGTGTGGGTCTTCTTGTACCTATATATAAAAAAGGAGACACTAGTGTAGTTAACAATTACAGAGGTATATCAATTACAAGTATCTTCAGCAAGCTGTACATACATATTCTGAATAATAGACTAACATTTTGGTGCTCTTGCTATGAAAAAATCGTTGAATCGCAAGCGGGGTTTCGCAAAGGTTACAGTACTATTGATAACATTTTTATCCTACAGTCCATTATTGAACGCTATCTCTCAAAAAAGAGAGGTAAAGTGTATGCATGTTTCATAGACTTTTCCAAAGCCTTCGACTTCGTGAATAGGACAAAACTGTGGAATATTTTAAGGCTAAGAGGAGTAAGCAGCAAAATGCTTAAATCAATCCAAGCCCTCTATGCAAGTGTTAAAGCGTGTGTCAAATTTAATAATAATTTATCAACATGTTTTGATTGTCCATTGGGTCTACGACAAGGGTGTATCCTAAGCCCTCTTCTTTTTTCTATTCTTATCAATGAACTAGCTTATGAAATCGAAGCATGTTGCGTACCAGGAATTCAGCTTCATCCTGAACTTGTACAGTTATTTCTTCTTTTATTTGCTGATGATGTTGTGTTTATCTCTGATACAGTGTTTGGTCTACAGAAAAGACTTGATGTCCTAAAGATATTTTGTTCTGAGAATTGTTTGACGGTAAATATGGAAAAACAAAGGTAATAGTCTTTAAGAAAGGTGGAAGACTGTTGAAGTATGAAAAATGGTTCTATAATGGTGTACAAATAAAATGTGTTTCCTGGTACAAATATCTAGGTATTTTATTAAGTAGGTCATTAGTATGGACCAAACACATAGAAAATGTATGTCTGCAGGCTAAGCAAGTTTTATTTGGTATTTTGAGATCACTGTCAATGTTTAAGCCATTATCTTTTCACTTGTTCTTTAAGATTTTCGACACCAAAGTTTGTCCAATTTTATTATACGGTGCAGAAATATGGGGACTGAATGTTGTTAACGAAATAGAAGTTATACATGTAGCAGCTTGTAAACGATTTCTGGGAATTAAATCCTCTGTTTCAGCGCATGTTGTGCGAGGCGAGTGTGGAAGATATCCATTGTACATTTATACCATCAACAGGTCTATCAAATATTGGTGTAAAATATTGAAAATGTCAAATGAGCGATATGTAAAGAAATGTTATAACATGCTTGTACAAATGGAAAGTAATGGTTGCAGGAGCTGGGCATCTAGGATAAAGCATATATTAGAAGTCTATGGATTTGGATTTGTTTGGCAAGAACAGATGGTTCGAAGTGAAACGCTATTTTTAAATGAATTTCTTGGTAGACTCAAAGTTTCGTATCAACAGGACTGGCATTCTGCACTAATAAAAGGCACAAAACATTTGGATACACGTTTTTTAAACCTATGTTCGGTGTTGAATCTTATATCTTCATAGTTAGCTATTTTAAACATAGACGTGCGCTTGCTCAGTTTAGATCGGGGTCTCATAAACTACGAATAGAAACTGGCAGGTATATTGGTGAGGCTAGAAATGACAGATTATGTAATATCTGTAAATTGCCATATATAGAAGATGAATATCACTTCTTATTTATTTGTAATAAATATCAAGTATTGCGGCGACTGTATATACCTTTACACTTTTATGAATATCCAACAATCCAAACATTTAATACGCTTCTGCAATCATCAAATGCAAGCATCTTAAAACATTTATCGGCATATATATATCAAGCTATGTTACTGAGACAGTCCTCATTATAACATATTTTCTCACTCTGTAATTCTCAAAGTGTAACCTGGGCCTATGGCCTATATTACTTTTCTGAAATAAACCACCATAAACTATTCACGCACAGGGCAGTACTGATGTTATTGGTCAGTTGATCTGCTTCTTGTACATCAATCCAAACGTAGAATTTACCCAGAGAAATCGAGTGTACAATAAGTGAAAACAGATAGCATGTTGTTGTTTTTTTATTCATTAATATCGACCAAGCACCTTTTTCCCTACGACTTTGAACTGGCCAGCAAGGACATTGGACTCTACAGCTGGACTGATGTTAGGCTGCTGACCTCCAGCCCATAATGAAATGACACCTGAAAAACAATGATATTGATTAAGTACATACCAATACGTCCTTAATTACTGATAAGAGATAATTCAACAGCATTTACAAACACATCAAGAGCCGTTGATCACCGTTAACGGCTTTATATCTACGATTATACTAACAATGTTTAAACAATACTTATGTTCCTTTTTATTGTAAATAAACTAGCTGACCCAGCTGATTCTCAGTTGCCTCTATTTCCTCTTAATGTAATCAACAGTGTAACACGTTTATGAACCAGTTAACCTTATTGTTGTCGTTGTTATATT